TTGGTATCGTCTACCTTTACAACCGTCATATCAGGCCGAAAATGGGGTACTGGTAATATATATAGGCAGGAGCTGGTCAGTCTTCCTTTACTCTATTTGACAAAGTCCAAAAACGTCTTCACGAGTGATGAATAATTTCCCATCCTACAACCTCTTTCTTTAGTTCCACTAGTTCTAGCCTTTATGCCTCAAACCCGCCATGCCTCACATATTAGCGGACAACAATCATTTCCTTCGCGTTCCATTGGTAAGATCATTAAAATCTTAACTGTTTCACGTATAGAGACATCTGTTATCTATCATATATATCATCATAATGAACAATCCTTACGTTTATTCAGTAAATTCTCTCTTACTCTGTAACCTTCTACCTCGAGTGGCTCTTGGGCCTTGTAAAAAATGCTGTATACACAGGGACGAACTATCCCCATTCTCTTCGAATTCAGTTGTAAAGAGGAAGTTCCAATCGGATAGATTCGTCCTAAGAACCGCTTCTCTGGGGAACAACCTGTGGAGAGGGTGGGTCCCGACCATACAAACTTATTCTCTTCAAGTGTAGGGTCAACCGTTATCTATCCTATCTATCTATATAATCTACATGGCGGACCGCAAGTCTTTTCGCCCCTATATAACATAATTTACTGGATCACCTCGGCGTGGTGCAAAGGTTAGCAAGCTTGTCTGGCTAGAACAATTACGACTGAGTAGTGAGTTCGATACTCGCTAGGTGCTCCATATTTTCGGCCTTGTGTCACATCTAAGCAGCGTTTAGAAAATCACTATAACATAATTTACTATTTCAGATGCCTCTTATAGTTTGGAACAGAGGCAAGACTTTCGGCCGACTCTGTACAATTCTTATGTCGATAAAAGAAAACCATTCGGAAAATATAAGATATAAAATGAATATATAACTAATATATAATATAATAATAAATGATATATACCTATATATAAATGAAATAAAAGACGAAGAACAAATATAAAAGAATAAATTATTAAGATATTCTGTACAACAACCATGTAAAACATAATTTCCTTCATTTGGGAATAAGTCCTGAAAGTTTATTCAAAATGCTACAATTATTTGATTTTCTGCAAGAATTTACAAATCAATGGGTTTTTCAGCGCCCAAAGGACGCTCAGATTTCGCCAAATAACTTATTGCCCACCCACTTTAACGCCAGATAAATAAGATTTTAAGAATAAAAAAAGAAATATATATATATATATATATATATATATATATATATATATATATATATATATATATATATATATATATATATATATATATATGGATGTTTCAGTAAATCAACCAAGTCCATTCTGATATATTTTTAAAAACTTTTTGCATTGGTTTTAATATTTCTCATGTCGAAGTATTTTAGGCATATATATACGTATACATATATATGTAACATCTTTATTTGAGTTTAACAAAACGTGTATATATATATATATATATATATATATATATATATATATATATATATATATATATATATATATATAGAAAGAGAGAGAGGAGAGTGGGAGAAATAGATAGATTGATAGAGAGAGACGATTATATATATCTATAAATAAGCTAGATAGATAGATAGATAGATAGATAGATAGATAGATAGATAGATAGATGGACCAAATCAGATAGATAGATAGATAGATAGATAGATAGATAGATAGATAGATAGATAGATGGACCAAATGAGATAGATAGATAGATAGATAGATAGATAGATAGATAGATAGATAGATAGATAGACCAAATGAGATAGATAGATAGATATATCAGTATTTGTTCATTCAGCTGGTGCATGCAAATCTATGCAGGAATATTGCATAAATGAAGAATATTATCTCAATTTACAAGAAACGTATTTCAAAAGGCAATCGTTGTCCTTTTAAAAAAAAAGAAACGAATCAAGTCGACGTATTTGATAACACAAATATAAACAATGTCAAACAAGGAAAAAATACATACAGAATTTCATGAACGTTTTAAAAACGAAAAAAAATATCCAAGAATCTGAAGAAAATTGAATGTTTAAAATAAAATTAAAAAAAGTCAAGATAAAATACCAGAACGGAATACGTTGCTTCCTTCCTCACGAAGCAGTGGAACAATTAAAATAATATTGTCATTTTTTTAAACTAGAAAAAAAAGTCACTCGATCTCATTTATTTCTATTCAAGCATATCTTTAGAGGCGAAAAGAAGGAAGGCAACTAAATAATCAGGAAGTCAGTTTGAAGAAAAAAAAAAAAAAACTTTTATTGTAAACTATTTTATTCTCTTCGTTTTTTGACATTCCTTGAATCCACCATGTTGGTAGAAGCAATGGCAGGTTCAAGCAAAAAGAGGAATCCAAATTTTTTCAAAGAGAGGATACCAAACAAGCGATACAATTAAGTATAAACAAATGTACATTTTGAAATCAATTTTATTTGGTTGTTTTTTTTTTTTTTTTTTTTTCTTCTTCATTATTCGTCTTTCTTTCTTTCTTTCTTTCTTTCTTTCTTTCTCGTTTCGTCTTTTCCTTTGCATCTTTCTTTTTTCTTTTTGTATTTCTTTCTCGTCCTTTTTCTGTTTATGTTTCGTTTTACCTCTATCTATCTATCTATCTATCTTTCTATCTATCTATCTATCTATCTTTCTATCTATCTATCTATCTATCTATCTATCTATCTATCTCAGTCTGTTCAGAGCTATCTATCTATCTATCTATCTATCTATCTATCTTTTCCGTTTTTCTTTATCGTCTCTTCTCTTTTTTCTTTCTTTCTCTTTTAGTTTTTACATTTTTCTTTCTTCCCTTTCTCTGTTTATTTGTTTCATTTTCTTTCTTCTTTTCTTTCTTTCTCTCTCTCTCTCTCTCTCTCTCTCTCTCTCTCTATCTATCTATCTATCTATTTTTCGTCTTTCTTTCTTGTTTTGCCATTACTTCATTCTTTCATTTTACCTTTACCGCTGTTCCTTTCTCTTTTTCATTCTTTTTTACTCTGTTTTTCTTTCTTTCTTTCTTTCTTTCTTTCTTTCTTTCTTTCTTTCTTTCTTTTTTCCATTTTACATTACCAGGACTTTCTTTTTACTTCTTTTTCTTTCTTTCTTCCTCTTTACTTTTCTTTTTTTTTCTTTTTTGTTTTTACTTCTCACTTTTTTCTCTACGTTCTTTTTCTTTTTCCTCTTTTTCTTCTTCACTGTTTTCTTTCTTTCTTTCTTCTTCTCCCTATTTCTTTCTTTCTTTCTTTCTTTCTTTTTTTCTTTCTTTGCTCTTTCCTTTATACATTTCATTACAGACGTTTTTTTTATATTCTTCATTAGAACACTGATATTTTTTCCAGTTTAATACGGATATTCTTCAGCTTTCATTTTAAACAAATTCTTTCTCTTTTTTAAAAAATATCGGCTTTATTTAGATCCATTCACAGTGCAGATCTATCGAACGCAGCTAATAATCTTTTACAAATAAGCCTTTATGCGAACATAAAGTATTTATTAATTTGTTTCAGATGCTTTTTGTAAAGGGGTAATTGTCAAGAAATGGCCGAGACGCACGCATAAATACATAGATTTATTTGCACATGATTTTTCCAAGATATATAAACGATGTGTATGTGTGTGGTGGTGGTGGTGGGGGAGAAATGGTGGTGGTGAAGAGGGAGATAGAGAATGCGTTCGAGTTTGTGTCACATTAATTTAAATTCATTTTTAGTTAATTTGAATGATATTTTTTTTTCTTTTTGCTTTCTTTCCCTTTTGTGATTTTCTTAAAAATCCAGTTCCTTTTCTATTGTTCAAACGGAACTGAAAATGATAAGAATAATCAATGAGTGAATGGGTCGAAAGAACGCCTGAAAGAAAGTTAAGAATAAAAGGGACAGAAATAGTCGCAGTTAATATGGCGATGATGATGATGTTGATGATGTTGGTGATGATGATGATGATGACAGAGTGGAAGATAACACCATCCATAAATATAAGAAGCTATTGCAGGATACGAAAGAAAAAGGATTTAATAATAATAATAATAATAATAATAAGAAGAAGAAGAAGAAGAAGAAGAAGAAGAAGAAGAAAAAGAAGAAAACGAAGAAAACGAAGAAAAAGAAGAAAAAGAAGAAGAAATACAACAACGAGAAAAATGAAATGAAGTCGAAGGAAAGTAAATAATAATAATAAGACGACGACGACGACGACGACGACGAAGAAGAAGAAGAAGAAGAAGAAGAAGAAGAATAACAACAACAACAAGAAAAATGAAATAAAGTCGAAGGAAAGTAAGTAAATAATAATAATAATAATAATAATGAGAAGAAGAAGAAGAAGAAGAAGAAGAACGGGAAAAAGGAAATAAAGTCGAAGGAAAGTAAATAATAATAATAATAATGAGAAGAAGAAGAAGAAGAAGAAGAAGAAGAAGTACAATAACAACGTAAAAATTGTAATGACGTCGAAGGAAAATAAATAAATAAATAAATAAATAATAATAATAATAATAATAATAATAATAATTGACACTAGAAAGCGAACTTAATGGGGCCATAAGGTTACCAATACCTTAGCTATACCCGTAGTAACATACAGCTTCAACAATATTAAACAAAAGTTGAATGACATTAAATGATTTGACGTCAAGATCGGAAAAATGCTTACCCAGTGCACCACCTGAAATCAGAAGTTGATAGGTTCTAGGTGGCCGAGGTCTCATCCAACTTGAACTCACTCTAAAGCCTACGACAATCAGATTGGAAGCCTACCTCACAAAAACCAATGGCCTTCTCCTACAAATAATAAAACGTCAAATCTACTCCATCAACAAAGAAGTTGCATTCTTCAAGAAACAGCTTAATATGCCTGAAATCTTACCAACATAAAACGAAGCGAATACCATCTACGCCAAACGAATAAATCTCATGATGCCATTTCTGACCTTAGGTTTCTGGTCGGGACCCGGAAATTATTGAGTATACACCTGAAATCAAAGGAAATAAAACAACAACAACAACTACAACAACAATAATAATAATAATAAAAGAAAAAGAAGAAGAAATGACGTCGGTAAAGGAAAGGAAATTGTACTTGTCCCACTCGTCGTTAATTCACACGACCGTTACGTCCTGCCAGTACTTCATAAATTACTAACTATTCCCTTTTGATCGCGTGGAAAGACGGGAAAGACATATCATAGACGCTACTAGTTTCACTGAGAAAAAGAAAGAAAGAAAGAAAGAAAGAAAGAAAGAAAGATGGAAGTTTCTAACGTCTGTTTCAATGAAATGAAAAATGATATCAATTTCAAATCTTTTTTTTTCTGCCCACATTTTAAAGTAATGCTCAGCATTCCTATTTATCATTGTTATTGCAGTTAAAGTTGTTAAGCTCAAATATTTAACGATGTGATATGACGTCATCATCATTGCGATAGCAGTTCCGAGTCAAGTGATTTTTTCATGTTATAAAGCGGAATGATAGTCAGATGGCGCCAAATCAGGAGACTAGAGAGGATGATCAAACCAGTTCGAAGCCATAGTCAGGCCCAGCAGCCATTGAAACCAAGAACTTATGTATTGGATCATTGTCAATTTTCGTCAGTTTTCCTGGGCATTTGATCTTGATAGCCTTTCCGAATTGCCTTAGCAAGTTGGCATAAAGCCTTTCGTAACTACATTAGCAAGTTGGCATAGTACTCACCATTGATGGTGTGGCCCTTTTGAAGATAGTCAAAAAACGCAGTGGCTTTTGCAAACCCAAAACTGAGGGCATCATTTTCCCTGTAGATGAAATGAAATTGGAGCAGGTGGATTGTCGTTTGCTCAGTGATAAGCGTTCAAGGAAATCAGCTGGAACTGGTATTCTCTCATAGCGAGACCATCTTGCCACAGTGGGATGCTTGGAAGCAGTTCTTTTTCCATTTCACCCCATGCAGGGCAATAAAGCCATTAAGACACATAGGTTGCTGAGTATAAGAAAAAGAAAGAAAACGGTATTAATGATTGAGAACAATAAAAGAACAGGAATTAAGAAGACAGAAGTTAATGATTGATATTGAATTTAAATCTTAGATGATTAAATTTTGCATGGAAAAGAAGAAACCGAAACCGCTAAGTTAGAAGTGCAAAAGAAGAACCTCTTAGCATAGAACTTGCGGTTACATCTAGCCATTTCAACTGTAAAATGAAGTGAACTTTTTTATTTGATAAAGTGATTTCTCTACTAAATAAATACATTCTTCTTCTAGTCGTGTGGCATATTACGCTAAATCTTAATTTGGCACATGGACAGGCCAAGATCAGTTCTTTAAGTATTCAAGCGAGCGTAAATCTTATCGTAAAATATAAACAGTCAATTTCTTTTTACCCAGCTCGCATGCGCATTCGACGTTCCATCGAGAATTCGTTTGCTGAGACAACTTCAATCCCGTCAGTTAAAAAAAGAGTTCAAATTAAAATGCATGTAGCTTTGATGAATTTGCGCATCGTCTCCCCTCCTCCTCTTTTCGACTGCTTTTCCTTATTAAAATTAAATTTGTATTAAAAAGAAAAACAAACAAACAAACAAAAAACTACAACACGTATCAGTTCTCTGCTTGTATAGCGTTCATTTTTACCGACAATGCTAAACAATTTACCTTCATTCATTCGATTATTAACTCAATCGGTCATTCCTTTATTCTGTGATTCCAACGTTCGTTTCTCTATTGATTTTTCAAATCCATTCCTCTGTTCTTTTATTCTTCTCATTCTTTATCTGTTTCTCCTCTCCGGTCTTTTGAGGTTATTCTTGTTATTGAATGGCAAATTGAAACAAAACGATTCGCCCGCCATGAATTGCGAAAATTAATGGAGTTTCGACCTAAAGAATAAAAATCTTGCCTGATTTAAAGAAAAGGAAGAAAAAAAAAGATGATATTAAAATTAGATAAAACGATAAAAGTTATATAAATGAAATCCAGTGGAAACGGTTTTTGAATAAAATTACTATTGAAAGAGTTCGATCAATCAATGATGTAATTTGAACACAAATGAAACGAACATTTTGTTATATGCGGTGAATGATTAATCTTACGTCTTATATGCAGATCGATGGCTATCTTGAGTTGATTCTGATTCAAGGGAGCTAACTGTGTATCACTGGTCTCTTTCTTATTTTCTTTCTTTTTTTCTTTCTTTCTTGTTTTCTTTCTTTCTTTCTTTCTTGCTTGCTTGCTTGATTTCTTTCTTTCTTGCTTTCTTGCTTGATTTCTTTCTTTCTTTCTTGCTTGCTTTATTTCTTTCCTGTTTGCTTTCTGGCTCTCTTTATTCTCTGTCTTTCTTTCTTTTTTTGCTTCCTGGCATTCACGCTTTGGGTCTTTCTTTCCTTATTCTTTCTTTCTTTCTTGATTTTTCTTCTTACAGGCAATCACGCTTTCTTTCTTTCTTTCTTTTTTTCTTTCTTTCTTTCTTTCTTTCTTTCTTTCTTTCTTTCTGGCTTTCTTTATTCTCTGTCTTTCTTTCTTTGTTTTTTGCTTCTTTGCATTCACTCTTTGGGTCTTTATTTCCTTATTCTTTCTTTCTTTCTCGATTTTTTTCTTCTTACAGGCAATCACTTTCTTTCTTTCTTTCTTTCTTTTTTTTCTTTGTTTGTTTCTGTCTTTCTTTCTTTGTTTTTTTCTTTGCTTCCTCTTTGATTCTTTATTTTTTTATTCTTTCTTTCTTTCTCGATTTTTTCTTACAGGCAATCCCAGTTTCTTTCTTTCTTTCTTTTTTTTTTTCTTTATTTTTTGTTTTTGCTTCTTTTTCTCTTTTTTTCTTTCTTTCTTTTCACGCTTTCAGTCTTTCTTTCCTTATACTTTCTTTCTTTCAGGCATTCACACTTTTAGTCTTTCTTTCCTTCTTTCTTTCTTTCTTTCTTTCTTTCTTTCTTTCTTTCTTTCTTTCTTTTCTTCCAGACATTCAGTCTTTTTGGCTTTCTTTCTTTATTTTCTACTTTTTTTTCTTTCCTGCTTTTTTTCATTATTTCTTATTTTTGGTCTTTCTCTATTACTTATGTATTTCGTTCTTATTTTCTTTTTTCTTTTTCTCTTTCTTTCAGGCTTTAGTTGCTTTCAATCTTTCTTTATTTTCTCCCTTCTTTCATTCTTTTTTTCTTTATTTTCTCTTTCTTTCAGGCTTCCATGCTATTGATCTTTTTTTCTTCCTCTTCCTTATTTTCTTCAGAACAATATTTATTGATCCGTATTCTTCCATTCCTCATCATATATTATATCTCTATCTCTCTCTCTCTCTCTATATATATATATATATATATATATATATTTATATATATATATATGCATGTATGTATGTATGTGTGTGTGTGAGAGAGAGA